GCTCTGTTCCTGTGCTACTGAGTGTAACTACCGCCCCTCCCCCCTCTTCCCAGCGTAAAGCACAAGGCTCGCGTGCGGAGTGAAGCAGGAAAAAAGTGCAAGAGAGAGGGTGAGAGAAAGAAAAAAAAACCACGGCTCGCGATAAGGAGCCGGCTCGCGTCGTTCACGTCAAAGAGTCGGCTCTAAGAGCCATTTCGTTCGCGACGACACATCACTACAGGAAACAAAGCGCATAAATCAAGCAGCTCACAGAGCAGAGATTAGTTCAGACTGCAGTTTTTTTGATAGATGCAGATTATCTCTGCTAAATAGAGAACATACCAAAATGTCATTCAGATTGCTTTTTCTATTTACCTGCAGAGACATGAATCTTGTGTTAATCTGCAAAGTGGAAGCGTTAAGCCTTGGCTAACTGCCTTGTATGGGAAGGTAGCTGCATCTCCAGGAGCCTAGCTGAATATCCGACTCCTAATGTTATTGCTGTAAAGCTACCTCGCACTCATTGGATGGCAGGCAAATCAGTGCTTCTGTTCCACTGATTATTTTTGCTAAAGCACCCATTATACAAGAATTCTAATGAATGCAAATCATTCATTAGGCTTGCTAACAGAGCCTTATTTTTCATTGCATTAAGCAAAAGAAACAACAACAAAAAACAACTGCTGATGGCTTTGAGGTGGTTACTGGAGTAGTCTAACAGGTTAACCTGTCCACATCTTCAGCGACAGCGCATCATGATTGTCAGTGAAGTCAGGTGAGCAGCTGTCCCTTTTATCCATCATGGTTGCAGTTGCCACCACACTGACGGTAATGCATAAAACATGGGTTCCTTTCTTGTTCCCACTACCTGTTGGCGCAGACCCAGGCTCTCTTTTGTTCTGCTCGCTTGGCTCGTTCTGAAAGAGCCCCAGTTTAATTTGCACCCATGCTCTCAGTGAATCAAATGGTGGTGTATGCAGAGTGGTAATGAGGCAACATTTCCATTTGCTGTTCCTCATCAGCCGATTGGCATGCTCCATTAATGCGCTGGCTGCTGTGGCTTGTTTGGTTATTTTGAACCCAATGCAGATTTACTGATGTGCATCACACGCAGCATTTTCAGAAGTTTGAGCTGTTGTTGTTAAGATGATTGAATTAAGGTGTGTCGATTATCATCATCATGTGTCTGGATTCATACACACAAATACAGTAATATTTGATACATAATCTAAGACACATGCATGTTGTTTATTTTAAGCTACATATTGTGGCTCAGTATAAGAATTGGTGGTTTATATGTGCACTTGTTAACTGTAACCGTTCCTTGGAAAGTTTATCCATTTCTAATGGGAGAAAATACTAATGATGGTGTCACTGGTGCCATAACATGAACGACTGTTTTTCTTCAGCCCTAAAGTTAAAGAATGATAATATCTCTTATTTAGCTAAAACGACTCTGACAGAGTTCACAGAGGTATTTCTCAGGGGCGGAGCTTGCTCTGCAAGTTACAGAAATACAATTACGGAGGAGCTCCGCTGGCCTGCAAGGTTCAAAGAACTTCAAGATACATACAGCTTCAAATGGCAACACATAAAGTTTCCAAAATAGATATGCTACTGCTAACTACAGGGTAGCACGACTGCTCTATTATTAGTTTTCATTACAAGCACCAAGAAACAGAAACACTGTCTACAATATAAACAAAATCAAAAGCTGACCTTTCCTCTTCCGTCCCATATCAACTTTTCATTAAGTAACTAAGCACCACTTTTTCAGAGGAAAGATTGTCAGTAAAGTAAAAGAGAAATGAAGTAGATTCCCAGCATCAGAGGACTGACTACAAATCCCACAAATGTTCCTGCGTCAAACACCGGCCTGATCACTGACCTAACACTCCCGAGCCAAAGACAGCTGTGCAGCTTCTTTTTTCAACTTAATTTCACCAAAGCTGCCATCGGTGACGTCGTGCAGCTATGTGGGGCATCTCTGATGAAGGACATGTCGCTGCCACTGATAGAGAGGAGCAGCCACACGCCAGCAGAAACAGATAACCTTCACAATGACTAATTCACTAGTTCACTGACCATCCACGAGTTAGCAAACCTGTGGTCCAAGATGCTGCAGAACAAATCACAAAGCTTTCTTTCTGTATCTGTAGATATGGGTCAAAGCAGGAACAAGTTCATTAAAGCAGAACGTTTTCTTAAGAATCTACTTAAAGCAATATTGATTCTTTTTCAATGACAGCATTTTGTACTGTTCAAATTCAATATTTCATCTTAAAAGTTTTAAATAAATAGCACAGCTGGCCAAAAAGTGAGATTCAACTCTGACATGCTAAACTGCTGGCATTGTTGGACCCTAAAGAGAAAAACATGAATGCTGTGCATGGTGCGGTTTTAAAGTCTTCCACTTTTTCATCGCTCGATTTGAAAACATTTAGACACTTTGATGTGGCATAGAGATTTTCTTGCCATCTGAAAATATAATATTATTGGGCAACATATTGATATAGTAGTGCATTGTTCAACAATAAAAGCCTTATTTCAACATCTGCTGTGACGACAAGGCTACCAGTAACTCCCTGCTAGCATAGCATGATGTCGCCACACAAACGGCAGCTTTTTACACTTATTTTGTTTCAGGCAAAGATTTAAATAAAGAGAATTTAATTATGCATCGATTTACTGCAGGAACTAAAGATGTGAACAGCTGTCAGTGTGTCCAGTTTTGTTTGTATTTGTTGTAGATGTAATGGATTTCATATTTCAGTTACTTCAGCAACAACATAGATAGTTTGCACTTAAAGCAATCTTAAGAAGCACTTTTGAGCCAGTGAGGTTGTTTCTCCAGGCCTAAGAATTTCAATATGCTTTATGGCCGGTGTCATGAAATGTGCTGCACATGCACTCACCATACAGGATGCTACTGTTGCTATGTCTCACTCCTGTCTCCTGTCTTGTCTCGGTTCACTCGGCTGGCTCGGATTTGGATCGTTGCCTGCCTGCCTGCCTGCCTGCCTGCCTGTGTGTGTTCATGTCCTGTTCCTGCACCACCACCTCCACCACCACCACCACCTTTGTCGCCCCCCTCATCTGAAGGCTATGAGAAATCCCGGAGCTTAAACAACATAGCGGGCATGACTGGCATGGCTGGTAACACTCTGAGGCTGTCTCCTGTGACCTCGCCCTATGGATCGCCCTGCCCGCTACGCCGCTCTCGCTCCCCTATCCCTTCCATCCTGTGAGATGTCCACCTCTGGACCGCTTTGACCCCAACCAACCCATATCCGTTCCACTAACAAACCACATCCCCCTGGCATCAAATCCGAACTCTGTTTAGTTCTTGTGACTAGTGGAAAAGTACTCCACCATCGTAGCCAAGAATCGTGTAAATGTCTCGAGTAACCTGAGCAAGTTCTGCGCTTTTCCTCCAAGGTACATCTGCTTAGCTCACATTCATCTCCTGATGTACCTTTTAGCTCGATATTATCATCATGTGAGTCTTGCAATAAAAAAACTGTTACTGGTGGCTTCAGAGGTAGCAGCCATAACGTGTAATAAAGGACATTTAATAATCAGGGATATTAGATGTTGTTATATTTAGATACCTTGATGTGCTTCCAGAAAAAGAAAGAGAGATGTCACTTTGTTTTAACCTCACACAAACTGTGACTTTGTTGATGGTAAACTGTGTTGTAATTGGTTTGGAGTTGGAGAGGAGGGGCAAGTCGCTTTCCACCCGCTGTTGGGCCTGCTCATGTTTTTTGCATGGATCATCCTGTAACCATCGTCTTCGAGAAGCGTGCACAGAGGAGGGGAGGAGAGGATCTGTAGGACAGACTTGGAGTTGTTTCTATAAAACGTTGTTATGTTGGGATTTAGGCGAGGGAGGGCGTCCCCGACTCGTACCATGTCTCATTCTGCCATTGGCTTCAGCAACAATCCACCGAGGAGACTGAAAACACCCAGCTGGGCGTTGCTTTCTGCTCATTTGCTGCTATTTCTGAATAACTTTCTCCTCCTCTGTGTCTAATTTTCTTTTTCCTCTGACGTAGTGCCACCAAATCTGTTTCTGGTTGTTTACTCACAGATAACTGCAAAGAGGTTGTCTTTACTGGTTTTACACAAGCAGAGAGCAGCGTTCTGTCTTAATGGCTTGAAGAAAGGCACCGCCATAGTGGAAAGGTAAAGGAATGAGGGTGCGGCGCCATCTCACCCTTTTCTTGGCTATTTTTCAGTATATGTGTGTGTGTGTGTGTGTGTGTGGGGGGGGGCATAGACAGGTAGCATTTTATTCATGAGACCACAAAAATAAATAGATGCACGTCCCAGACTAAACAGTTGAAAGTGAAATCAGTGTTTTTGACAATGACAGGCGTAAACTGCCTCTGCGTACCAACAGGTGGGACAGCAGACGTAACCATGCAGCAGTGTGCCTCGCCCATCACTACAGTATGTCTATAGAAGTAGCAGGAGGTTGCTAAGCAACTGGCTCACAACTAGATGCATCTTCCACGTAGCTCGGCAAAAAGTCAAACTATCAGAAAGAGGAGCTCGTCTTTGTCTTTGCACCTCGTTATTGATTCACGCCTTACATGAACGAGCCAGCACACAGACGAGCCTTTACAAATACAATTTGGTACTGTTTTGATTTTTGTGCATTTTAAGCAGACAGCGTGTGCATGGTGAGATCTGATGCATTTCTTTCATCCAGACATGTATTTATATTTTATTTAGACAATTCATTTCCTATTTGAATAACAGTGGGATAAATTGTCATCAGTATGAGGACCTATTGCAGTGGGGAGACCTCATTTGGAGCCATAAGGCCACGCCTACAGGACAATAAGGATGAGGACGCACCCGAGAGCCACTGACCGACAGGCTGTCGGTGAGCAGACTGGACGACTCGTCCTTAAAAGAGACTATCTAGTGCGTAGATTTTGCTCCTGTAAATACAAAACAACACAGCACATCTGGGCCACGTGGCTCTGTCCACACATCTGTCTTTTGATATAGCGAGTCAGGTACGAGGCGGCTCGCTGCTACGTTGACACTCTGAGTCGATCGTATTTCTTGCTGTGGTATCCCTCCTCGCAATAAATGTATTGAGACGCATCAGTCGAGGCACTTTGTGTTCAAAACAAGGAGTGTGTTCATATATGAAATTCCACACCGAGTATATACAGTGTAGAGAGGCAACGTTGAATAAATGTGATCATCTCTGCTTTTGTTTCTCTTTGTAATTTCAGTAGGTTAACTGCTCTGCTGTGTGTAACTGTGTGTGTGTGGGCGTGTCCTAACAATCCAGGGTAAGGTCTATAGCTTGAAAGGCCCGGTCAGACCAGCGAGTGGACTCGATGCTGTCACTCTTGTACATTTAGCACCAACACAAATGAGACAGAGCTCCCCTGTGATGCAGTGCCGTTGTAGAAGTCCCCTCTCTACCCTGGGTTAGTGCTGCAGACGTTCATCTCTATAAACCAAATTACTCTGACCAGACGATTCCTCATGACTCCTGGTGGCTAACAAAAACAACTTGATTCTTCCAGATCTTTCCCCTTATGGGGGTGAAGCAAACGTGTAGCAGAAGTTTATACAGCGGGACTTCTAGAATGGCTACATCTGCACCGTAGCAATCCCACATACCCACACAATCAGATTGGATTCGCAATAAGCACCCGAAAAACAAAAGCACCGATCCACACTGTGATTTCAGGAGCCTGTTAAAACAGGAAGGTGAAGGAAAACGAAGCTGCCAGGCGAGATCTGAAAGAGGCACAGCAGCACAGTTTAGGCTAGCTGCTCTAGTGCCGCCCTGACCATCCTCCTCATGTAGTACACACGCTGCTTCACTCTTTGGATCGACAAAGGGGTACCGTTCTTCGTGTATTTCTAGGATGATGTTATAACTTGAAAAAAAAGGTGTTTATTTTTTTGAAACCAGAACATGTATTTTTGTGTCTTACTGTGGAGTACTTTGCTCTTTCCTGTAAAGTCCTGGTAGTCTGATGCTGTGCTTCTACATCGTGTCCTCCAACTGTCAGGCTTTTGATCCAAGTTCATGTTTCGTATGTTTTACTGTGAGCATAATTCTAGTTTTTGTAATTCTGTATTTGTGGAGCCTTTTGTTGGCAAGTGCATGCTGAAAAGAAAAATCATTATGTCAAACTGTAAAAGAAATAAAATAAGATGACATATTGTATATCACGTTCAAAACAATGTGTATAGAGTGAAGGTAAATACTATGTGAGAGACTCACATAAACTATTTATCTTTTAACTGATGGTCTCTGTCTTAATTTCACCTATTTTCTTCTTGGTTGTCAGAAAAACACAAATGTGTGTTTAACCTTCACGCACACCACACAAAACCTCACTTTTCATATAGGAGTCAATTGTCTCCACTTTTCTAAATAGAAAATCTACTTATTTCTTTTGATAATGCTTAACTTCACCTATTAAACCACGTTCAAACTTTTCCCTTTACATTAGTGACTCAGTCACACTGGAAATCTTCCTGTGAATAAGAACAATCGGTGGTTTCCTGCTGATTTCACTGATTTTTATTTAATCTCTGCACTTGGATAGAGATTATGAGTATTTGTGACAACCCAGAGGCAATGATCTGTGGGCAGAAATCTGTGCCATCAGAAACTGAATTTGAATAAGTTAAATTTGAATTTGAATTGCTTGGATTGAATCTGAATTGTAACCTGAATAAATGCTTTTAAAAACTGAATATGAATTGGCCTAATTTGAAATTAAATTTATTGGTTTGAAAATGATCATCACTAAACTGAAATAGAATTTTATATTTTGAAAATGAATTAATTTGCTTTGAAACTGTATTTTATCCTTTAAAAAATCAGCTCTTGAATAATTTCAGATTCACTTCTCACCGTTCAGTTTCAGTTCTTAAATTCAGTTTTTGGGACTTACATCCGGAGTAATGATACGCTAAATTAGCATTTTAAGCTAACGGCTACAATAAGCATAAAAGTTACTGTACGGCTATCATTTGTTAACATGACGCTTGTTCTTATACATGTAATACATTTATTACCAACCTGAGAGTTTATCAGCTGCTCATTCGACATGACGAATGACTTCTGAAGTCTTAATTCAGCTCAAGATGCTGTAGATTCCCGTCAGTAACACTTTCGGTCCGCTAGTAAAACGTAGCTCTATGAATCTGCGCTCATTACTCCGGATGTAAGTCCCAGAAACTGAATTTAAGAACTGAAACTGAACGGTGAGAAGTGAATCTGAAATTATTCGAGAGCTAAATTTTTAAAGGATAAAATACAGTTTCAAAGCAAATGAATTCATTTTCAAAATATAAAATTCAGTTTCTGATAGAACAGATTTCACAGTGTTCCCTCTAAGCTGCTCGCGTGTGCAATTGCGCACTGCTGCCGCGGTCTCTGAGCACAGAAAATCTGCGTTGAGCAGATTAGTGTGTCGTTAGTGTGTCGTTAGTGTGTCGTTAGTGTGTAGTCAGTGTGTAGTGAGTGTGTAGTGAGTGTGTCGTTATTGTATTGTTAGTGTGTAGTCAGTGTGTAGTTAGTGTGTAGTCAGTGTGTAGTCAGTGTGTAGTCAGTGTGTCGTTAGTGTGTCGTTAGTGTGTAGTTAGTGTGTAGTTAGTGTGTCGTTAGTGTGTCGTTAGTGTGTCGTTAGCGTGTCGTTAGCGTGTAGTCAGTGTGTAGTCAGCGTGTAGTCAGTGTGTAGTCAGCGTGTAGTCAGTGTGTAGTTAGTGTGTAGTGAGTGTGTAGTCAGTGTGTAGTCAGTGTGTAGT